TTACTGCACCATAACAACAATTTCAATAGTGTGGAACCACATCTATATACATAATAATATATAAATATTGAAATGTGACTGAGTTTTTACATAATACTAGTCTACTAAAACAAAGCCAAGACAAGTTACTTTGTACAGACCAAAGGTCAGTTTTATGTTGTTTGATACGGTAACATGAGTGTACATGATCCACATCATTGTAACTTCTGTATTGTTAGCCAGGCATGGGTGGAAGGTCAATATAATAAAAATAATAAATATATAAATGTATCATGTTATGAGATTTAAACTATTTAGTCTAAACATTTATATCTGTTATAATTTGTGTTTATTCTAGAATGAAAGAGGCATAATTTATATTTATTTCCTAATTTTTTATGGTGTTTGCGATATGGGTCAAATCTACGGAATCTGTACAGAGATTAATTACTGAAAATAACAGATAAAATAAATTTTTTTCTTAAGAAATGTTTGATAACTATCTGGACATCATAAAGATTTCACATGTGAAATTTGAAAATTTTCTGAAATATAAAAGTATTTTTAATCTTAAAATGAATATTACTTTGCATGACAGATATGCAACACGTGAAAAGAAAAAAAAAGACATGAGAAAAACATTGCCTTACAAACCTTAAGAGTTAATAAAAAAAAAAATTGATATTTTGTATATGAAAGCATTGTAATGTTTACTGATAAGCTGCCAAATTTCGTTAACCTTCACTAACTAATATAAAAGTTATAGCATGAAAACTATAAGCACAAAATGGTTACAAGGTCAGTCCCAGGGACGGGCCCATGCTGAAAGAATTAATGCTCTCTGTGCAAGTTGTATTTCTTCCAAGTTATGCTGTAAGTCATGTTACATTCATAACTTGGGCAATTATAAACTTTGATTGATTGATTTTTGAGATAAATCTTTGGGAATCTACCTTATACTTAAATACACATTTCTATTTCAGTTTGGTATAAATCTTTCATTCTTCTAATTTTGGATAGTTTCCATTGTTCAAAAACTAATAATGGAAGTAAAACCATTACAACTTGACCTAACACTAGTTTCATACCAAATAAGTCACCAATTCAAGCAGAATGTGTCACAACCATTCTCGTAGCAAGTAAAATCTAACAGAAATCACTTAGGTTAGAAGCAAGTCATTTTATTCAATAACTGCTTATTACTCTAATCAATAGAAACTCTCAAGGTATGGTTTATTTAAAATCTAAATCACTAATCATATGCTTGAATATCCAAAATTCATATTATTAAATACAATGATCAAAAACAGAACTTTTTTTGAATATCCTCTTTATAAAATAATAATATGAGCAATACTTAGTACTTAATAAAAAAAAAACATTACATACTTCTGAAGCTTGTCTTAATTCTTGGTGGTGGATCCGCTGGGTAGAAGATGAAGCTGCTGGTCCATTCAATTCTCTTTCCTCTATAAAAGCATTTTCTGGTGTCCAACCATCTGAGAATACTGGATGAAAGTTATCTTCATAACCTTTCCATCGTTCACTGTTATAAAATGGGAAGAAAGCATTCCAAATATTTAACAGCTCTTTAACTGCACATTGGGATATGTTATACAACCATTTTGTAACCTAAAAACTGCACTATTGTTGTAAGTTATATTTTCAGAGTTTTAATTTAGATATTTACTAGAGGGTGCACAACATTAATGTCTGGAAAGTTCAAGAAGGTTGTGAATCAAGAAGCTTTTTGTAATAGGTAGAAACTGGGGTAAAATATAAATACGAGTAATCAGTGATGATTTACTTCAGTGTTAAAAGTGAGATATCACATCTATTCTGCTATTCAGCAAGTTAATGTGTTTATCAACCAAAGCAAAGTCAGATGTAGGTAACATTAGTCTCAGAATATCTGTTCAACCATTGTTTTCAAAGTTAGGCCTACATAAGTTTAAGAGTTTATATTAAAAAGTTCATTTATAAAATTAGGCCTTCAACTTGTGTCAAAGTGAACGTAGTTACAAAGAACAATTTTAACATTGATGTATTATTGTTATGTGGACCAAAATTGGCACTATTTATACAAAATAATCTAAAAGGATTTGCTCACCAACAAAAAAACATTTTACAAAATAGTAACCATACAGAAGTTTGGAATTTTGTACCATCATGAAGAAAGAGTATTCCCTTCAATCTTCCCAAAGCTTACCAGTTTCAAGTTTCAGATAAGTAACAATATATCGAAACATGCAACTTTTTGTTTTTGTATTGTGTATCTAAAATTAAACCTGGCATTGGGAGATTTGTTTATCTATAAATGTGGTAGTTAGAGTTATCAGAATAATTTATTACAAAACAGAAATATCACAAGTAAATTTAATAAAATTAATAGAAATAAATTTTGTAATAAAACAAAATTGCAGTGATTACTTTACATAACTAAATAACAACCAATAAGTTTTGGAAATCGTACTGGTTTTTCAAAAAATCATGAAAATAACTTGCAAGAACAGCATAATACAGGAAACTTTTTAGAATTTTATGTTTAATATAACTTTACTTTTGTGAGGCAATCATACAGAAATCACCATGTTTTAGTTGACACTCTGAACAAGATAAAATCCATTAAACCAATTTCTCATATAAAGCTTGTTTTTACTATTTTCATCCCTCACAGTTTTTTTGTTCTCTTTTGATTGGATTTGCACATTTGATGGATGACCTTTTATTTGTGCTTGCTATAACTTCAACAGGAATCCCACAATAACTGTATCCAAAACAACTGCATTTCACATAAACATCACACCTTCCAACCTTGCACTTGCAACTGAGACAAGGGTACTATATGACTTTTGAATATTTTATTCTTCCAGTTAGTGTAGGCTCGTCAGAGAAAGAAAAAGAGGCCAAGGCTTCCCAAAAATTTGAACAGATGAAACATTTTTATATATTACTACCTAATTTTATTTATCTTAGGTGTAGAAATTTTAATAAACTACATATTTTTGTGTAAAAAGATTCAAAAATCTTCTTGTCCCATTCTATGTCATTTATCGAGGTGAGATCTGGTAGCATTAGGCACAAAGCAACTGTGCTTCTTGGCTATTATTTGTACAACTTTTCTATACTTCTGAAGAAAATAGCTAAGAGGAACTGAGCATATTTTTCCAGGTTTAACTGGGATTTTAATACCAGCCAATCAATTAACTGATTCTATCAGAATCTAGGTTAAAAAACAACCAACGAAAACCATTTTAAGAAACATTTGTCAAAGGGGGAGTACACAAACCCCACTAGGCCATGATAATTAAAGGTCATTACAAATATAATGATTACGTGATTATTCAATGTTTTTAAGGATATAAACAATTAAAAGTGAGTTTTATTAGATGATGGGCAATGAACTGGTTAAAAATTGTGACAATATCTTGATTTGGAAGTTATTTTGGAGTTTTACGGTTGAAACAATAGTTACCTAGCCTTGTCTGGTATGACAACAGTTGGTTACCAATGTTTTTACAGCTATGAAAGACTGATGACTAAAGCTTGCATATAAATAAATCGAAACACCTAAAGTACCTATATTACTGTTCTATATATATTTGGGGTTGAGGGTACAATATCACCGGCCTCCTCCTCCTTCTATTAACCAGAGGACATCACTGATTCAAGTGTATAATGACTAGCTCAGCATTAAAAAAAGGTCTTCTATAAATAAATCACTTTGAATAAGGCAATGGAATTTCACTAAAATCAAGAAACAGAGCAACAAACTCGTTTTCAAAAGAAGATTTGTTTTCAAAGGTAAAACAATGAAAAGTTATATTGTTTGAAAGCTCTAATACTAAATTATCATTGAAATACAATTTTAATGAGTTTTTATTTTTTGTTGAATACAAAGGCAACCAAAACAGTCATTAAGTTCTGTATGATCAACTCCCAATTTTAGGTATAAATATTTTATTATAATTTAAAAAATATTCATCTGGAATTCTCCAGGACTATTTGCAGAATATATTTACCGTGAAACAGTCCAAGTGTCACCTAAGCTATGCCACAAATCATTTTCCTTTGAGGTGCAACAGTTCTGTAACAGATCAATGGCCTCTACTGTGAGCAGGGGAGCCACTACCTTGGCAGCGATGTTCGGTCCGTAGTTTGAGTCTCTAGCAGCTTCAACAATCACAGTCAGTGGGGTGAACAAAAAGTGGACAAGTTCAGGTGCATTCGGGTCATGTATGTGGTTTCTAAGTCTTGCCTTCACCAAATCATTAGAAGAAATATTTTTTGAGAAGCAAATCAAGAAACTTCATAAACCTACACTAATTTTCAAAAATTTAACTTTCCGCGATTTAAAAAAAAAAACCTTAAGGAAAATATAACATTAATCTAAACCTAAACGAAAAAGTCAAATGAAATAAATAGCTCCAATACTATTATTTAATTAATTAGCACTATTAAACAATAATGAACTTAATATAAGATGAGTATTAAGAAGTTTTTGCATACCCATTGTAAATCCCACAATGTCTCAACTCCTACTGCCTTTCACTGTCTACAGCAAGTTGTGTGAAAGCAGTTACCCTTAAAAGTTCTTATAATTCCTAAAGTAGAAATGAAACCACCCTAACATTTGTATTACATGTCACTCCCAACCTCTGCCCTTACAAAAGAAATGAAATAATAAAAGATCTTAAATAATCTTAAATAGAGCTGCAAGCCCTACCTTAATATTTCTTATGTAGCTCATACTCCCAACCTCCTCTCTTTCTCTTGAAAATGTATTCAAGTATAACACAGGAAAGCCGAGACAAGCCCAGCTACTTGAAGTTAGTCTTTCCACCCCGGTATATTGAATAAAATTATAATTTTAATTTTAGCTACTTAAAAGTAGCTAACTACCTCTAGTGACAAAAAAAGTATTTTCCCTTATCAAAATTATTTTAAAATATTTTCATATTTATTATAAAACAGCATAAAAAACTTTCTTTCATTTCTATTTAAGATCATTTTATTTAATTTCTTTTGAAAGTTGGGAGTGACATAGAAGAAATATTAGGGTGGTTTCATTTCATCTCCATTTCAGGAATTACAAGAACTTTTAGAGGTAACTGCCTTCCCACAACTGGCTGTAGACAGCGAAATGCAGTAGGAGTTGAGACATTGTGGGTGTAAGCACTCAAATCCATACCTTTAATTGATTTTTCATGATTGCTGGCTAGTTTAACATCAGTGTTTGGATTTTGTCTGGTAGATGAGATATCCCCAATGCACATGGGTGCTATTACCACAGACAATATCTGTTACGACTTTAAGGTGACAACTGAGATTTACAATGGATTTTGCAATAAACTTCTTAATGCTTATTTTATATAGATATATATATAGACACACACACACACACATAAATCTTACCAAAAGATTGAAAGACAATTTAAACTTTTTCAAAATGTCAAGAAATTCTCTTTCAGGGGGTGGCTTGGCCCTCATACTCAACATTCCATCTGGAAATCATAAACAAACAATGATTTTCATAAACATTTCTATTATTAAAATTCAGATGTGAAATATTTAAAGTACAAACCATTAAACAACATTCTTGGAAAACAAACAGTGTGTACTACATTTACAAAACATCTATTAAAATAAATTTCTTTTACCAGAACCGTAATTCAACAGATATAGTAACAGATCTTCAAAACAATATATAGAAGATGAAATCCTACAACTAAAAAAATATCCCAAACTGAATCTTTGTCAGCTTTTAAAACAAAATCAATTCATGTAGGTGCACTTACACAACAAACCACATATTGGCAAAAGAAATTTTCACACCTTTCTAAACCAATCAAAATTTGGCACTTATAATTAGAAAAATTCTATTGGTTTTTGATCTATCATAAACGTTTTTAACCTTCAGTTATACATAATTCTAATTCTTGTTTGGTCATCAACACACCTCCAAGATCTTTCTTCTTGCTTTTTCTGCTCTTCTGTCTCCGTTCAAGTTCCTTAAATGCTGCAGCAGCATGCTGAAGTCTTGCAATAAATCTCTCTATGTCATCAAAACAATGATTCAGAGTGGTCTGTAAGAAAACATTATACATTTTACACAATTGTAAGAAGAACTAAAATTGTCACAAACTGCTGAACAAAATAATGTTTCAATGCTGTCTGAAACAATTTGTCACTTCTATCATTCAAGTATTTATATTTTCAGTATCCACAAAAAAAGCAATGAAACATCAAGTTAAATCTCTTCAATGTCTTAAAGGTACATAGGGCAGGTTATTAGTTCCCTGAATAAGACTATTTTTACATTCCCCCTGGATACTCATTTCTTTACAATTAGTAGATTAAAGCAAATTTTGGGTAAAGTGTCTAGCTCAAAACCAAATGACTAATTGCAGATGAGCATTGAATCCATAACTTTCAATTATTAACCCATAACCACAGCACTCCACAATGAAACATTAACCCATAACCACGACACTCCACAATGAAACATTAACTCATCTTTTATCTAGAGTTACAAGTTTACTGAATTAATTTTATACATTTTCATTCTATTACAGAATGTTTTTTCTGCATTTGAAGTTGACTAGGAAATTGAAAATAAATTGGAAAGATATATAGTCTTAACATAATCTTCTAAATCAATAAATGCAGCAGAAAATTAAACAAAGATACAGATCTCATATAGTAACCAGGTAATGATGTCATTCACATTGTGAGATAGCAAGGTAAAATCACTCACAACATCTCGCTCATATCTTTCACTCGTGGTTGAACTTGTTTCATCATTTGAATCTCGGGACATACTTGATCGGACATGTTCTGCCCGTTCCAGCTGGTCTCTAGGACTACTGGAACTATGAGAAACTACAGAGAAAAAATAACTATATACAGATGAAAACAAAGCTAATATTACCAAAACTTTTCATGTTTTTCATAAATCACTATTTTTCTATTATTTTCAGTACAAGCAACATACTAGAAAAAACATCTAGCCATGTAAACAAAAACTACTTTGATTTAAAAAATTCAAATTCAAAATAAACAGTTTACCCGCAGGGCCTGAACTGTGAGCTTTAACAGCTGCATTGAACATATGTATCTGTTCCCGTACGTTAATTCCATTATGAGGCAATTCAGGTGGAGGATTAGTGGGTGGTGGTGGAATGCTACGTCTGTCATTTCTGTAACTGAAAATAAAATCTTTGATAAAAACGATTTAAAACAATAACACTTAAAATGAAATCAAATCATCTAATGTCTTGTCTTACAAATGTAGTTTTCATTGTATAAGAGTCATCATATCCATAGAAGCAACAAATGAGTCTAATGATTTGTAGAAAATTTTTACATAAGTCGTCTTATCCTTCCAAAATTTGTTATAAATCAACGAGTTAAAATAATTAACACAAGAAACTGAATAGTCAGTTTAACTCAATGAACACTTAAACAACAAATCTGTGCATACAAGTTAAAGTAAAGCATAAAACTAGGTACAGGTGTATCCAAGCTGTAACTACAAGTACCAAGAACTAGATAACTACATACACAAAACCATAACTACAGTACATGGATCTTAAACTAAGAAACTGCTCCATACAAATACATGAATCAAAACCATAAGTACATGAATACAAACAATGGCTAAATGGATCTAAAACTAAAATACAGCTCAATAAAAACAAGTACTTGAATGAATCTGAATCATGAATCAACCTGAAATACAAGTCAATAAAATTAGGTTCCCACATGAATCCATACCATGAACATATTACTAACACTAAAACATGCTGCTTTTATTATTAGTACATTTCCTATAGAAAATCAAAAGTAAAATAGTCTTGAATCTAATAACACACTACAAGTTCATGTTTTATGCATGAAAATATTTTTTAGTTTTGTACACACAAATACACAAGTTAATAGACACAGAAATATCAAAAATGTTAGCTCTGAAATAAGTTAAGCCCATGTCATGGAAAAACAAGAAATCTTGGATACATTAATCTTAAATTATCTTTTTAGTTCTCCTCTTTCACATTTAAATTCAAACCAAACACAACTGGTAAAACACTTAATAAATATTAATTTATTACTTTAATAACTTACGCAGCTTTCCATTTTCCAGTCATAAAAAGTTTCATATCAGTCACAACATCTTTAGCCTGGAAAGTTTAACAGAAATTTTATTTCTTCTAGTCTTCAGTTTGTAGAAGCTAATCACTGTGAACAGTTAATATTTCAAAGTATACTTTAACACAGTGTGTTAAACTTTAAATTACTTCAAAGTGATTCTTTACTAACTTAATAAGGCCCAATATTTGGTATAATCTAGTATTTCATTAATGATGTTCAGAAAACATGTAGATTAAAAACAAAAATACAAAACCCTATAATTGACCTGAATACTTTTAAAAAGTGGACCTTTCTTCATCAGTGGTAAACTAGGAACGGCTAATTAAACCAAAGAGTTTGAAAAGTGGAATGATGTAATGTAAGATCACCATGACAACTCAGAAGTGTTTGGATCATTTTTCAAAATTTTATTTTGAAAACTTAAGAAGCCTTTAATATTTGAAATGGAGGTCTAATTTCAGCCATGAAGGGGAGCAGGATAAATCATATCAATCAAAAGTTGTCATATTAACATGATTAAAAGCAAAAAGTTTGAAATTTCTACCAACCAAATATAATATTGTTAACTTATAAAACAGTGAGGTAGAACTTAAATCACATAAAATGTTATTAAATTTAATTAACTAAAATTAAAGACATTCTCTAGTTTGTTTGTTTTGAATTTCGCGGAAAGCTACACGAGGGCTATCTGCGCTAGCCGTCTCTAATTTAGCAGTGTAAGACTAGAGGCAAGGAAGCTAGTCATCACCACCCACCACCAACTCTTGGGCTACTCTTTTACCAACGAATAGTGGGATTGACCATCACATTATAACGCCCCCATGGCTGAAAGGAGCGAGCATGTTTGGTGGGACGGGGATCATTTTCTAGTACTAGATATTATTTCACAATTATAGAAGAACAAAATATTTAACAGGGTTACCACTTTTGAAATGTGAAGCCTATGGGAGGAGTACAAGGTAAAGCTTTTACATTTAGGAGGAATTTATATTTAAACAGGTATGATGTATGATGTTTCGATTACTGGTGTGATTATTTCTCAAACACATGTTATAAGAGTAAAGAAAGTTTTGAATTTAAATCAAAATTAAACAATATCACAATGTATTTAAATTACAGAATTGATAGTGGTTCCTTATGCATGTGCATATAAATAATAGTGAACTGAATGTTTATTTATTTACAGCTGATCAGAAAAAATAAAAAAACTTGATGAATTTAAAGTATGTGGAAGATTTTGTGGGAAAGATTTCAATAAGTATAGGAATGTCCGAGAAAATAACAATCCAAAACAAATACAGTCATGCCTTGTTATTTGTTGATTGTGGAATTCTTTAACTTTATTAATAAGGTTTCTCTAATTTTCTTCTGTTAATGTCAGGTTCATGTGTGAAATATTACATTGTTATACTGTTGATTTAAATACGAAAACCTTCTTTACAATTACACCCTGTGTACTTGGGAATAATAGCACTAGTGGTCAAAATGTCATATCTGTTTAAATAAAAAATTTTCATTACTGTAAAAGCTGTAACTTGTAAAAAATACTTATAATTACTAAGTAAACTCAAAGGAAACTAGAATTCATACACGTTTAATTTTAAATGAAAACTTTTAATGATTTCTCACTATTATCTTTTCCAATTCAAAAACACTAATACAAGGATACAAGTACTGAAAGAAAAGCACATTTTGATAAAGAATGATTAGGAAAAAGGGGACACCACGTTCAAGTTGCCTTATCATGTAAAACTATTTATCTAACATAAATATGTAACATATATGTTTGTAATCAAGTATTTATTCAGACTTTGGAAGCCACAGTAAACATAATCTTCTAGATAAGAAATTCGGTATGTCCATAGATGGGGAAGGAGGAATAGTACTAATAAAATTACCCTGAAGAGTAAGAAAAGTTCAAACAATAAAAATTTACTTTGACAAACAGCTTAAAGTTTAGAACTAAGTGAAAAATGATTAAATCACTAAAATTCCCATACGTTTAGGAGTGTCCCTTTTAATAAGGTTGAGTATGCTGGAAAGGTACATTTTTTCATATTTTGAGAATACTGCAAGGAATAAAAAATTATCCATCAAAGCTTTTGAACACAAAATATGAATAGTAAACTTACTGACACTTGTAATGACTGAAAGATGTGCATTTCTGAAGGAGTTCCATCTTTGTACTTCAAGTCAGCCAAGACAATAAAAACAACAATGTTATTGTACAGTTCTTTTGGATCATCACTGGTAAATTCTGTTGGTTCACTTATCAGATTCATAGGAAATTTTTCCACTATATCCTGAAACATGAAACACAACTTTACTAATAACATTTTTCTCACTCATAACTTGGACTTTGCTGTTTAACAGTTCACACAATTTGGATATGCTGTTTAATAGTTCACACATAATTTGGGTACATTGTTTAACAGTACATATATATAATTTGTGTTTGCTGTTTCTCAACAATACATATCTAGATTGAAATTAATTTAGTTTGTACAAGAATAATATAAGCATATTTTGCTACATTATTTAAACATGAAATAGTATGAAGCCCACCAAATAAACAAGACTTGGATTAGACTATTTCTTAAGCAACCAATATCTAACTTTGCACAAATCTGAAGTTGTATAACTATTAATACAAGTTCACTTGTTCATAGGAGCAAAACCCGAATATATATATATATGTATATATATAAAATATTAGTAAAAAAAGTTAAGCAAAACTCAAAATATGATAAAAACTATAAGATACATTAAAATTCACACCACATGGTTTGAACGACATACAACTCCACAACAATGACCCAAAATTACACATCATCGAAAACATTTGTTCAATGTTGCTTCTGGTCTTAAGTTATCAGAGCCATTTACAGTTGCAATTGGAAACAAAATCTAAGATTTAGAAGTACTTACTCCATTCTCGTAGTCAATAATAACCAACCACCTTTTGTCTAACTTCATCTGCATCTTCTGAGTCCAAATACCATTGGATTTTTCCATCTGAAATAAGCGTCTCAACCCATCTTTTGGTGTTTCTAATTCTAAAGAAAGAGAGGAAAAACTTAAAGAAACAATCACAAAACTAGTATTTATTAATTTCTCTCTTGTAAAAAATGAATTTTTGTTTGTTTGTATATATATCAATTCAAAGTTTCAGGAGCAAAGATGAAGCTGTTTGATTAACATTTAATTTAGGACACATCTTGTGTATCCACAAACTTTCATTAGTCCATAGCATTTCTTTACTACCTACATTCCCCAAGATATTGAAGTGTTTAGAAGTGACATTTGTGTCACAATGCTGTAAACAGTTGTCTATCCTTTGCCATTGTTTACAGAACTATGGTACTAAGGAAAGTTTGTGGATACACAAGATGAATTACATGTTAGTCAAACAGTTTCACAAACATTTTTTTTAGTAATCATACTTTCATTTTGGAAGATTTGAACTCAGCTCTGAAATCAAGAGCTCTATAACAGAGCCAACCAACACCCTACTATTAATAGATAAGAATGTTGGAGTATCATCAATTATGCAATGAACCTCCACCTAAAATTATCTTGTACTACTTGTAGTTTGAAAATCTGAATTTCAAGTTTCTGAGACAGCAATGTGTACGTGGTAGTTGGAGTTGTTAAAAAGCAACTTTGTAGCAAACCCTAGTGGGTTAACCCTTCAGTTCAGTTGTTGGAGCACTCACCTTGTATGTTACAGGTCTCAGGTTCAAATCCGACCCAAGAAATATACATAAATTACCACACCAGAGACCGAGGATGAGCCTTTCTTGTGAGAAGGGAAGAATATAATTTTAAGTTGTTAAAAAGTGGCTTACTAGTATAAACTAGTGGGTTAACTCTTTAGTTCAGTTGGTAGACCACTCATCTGGTATGTTACGGGTTCAAAATCCAAACATAGAATCATACATCATGAAAAAATAAATTACCACTTGTATTATTTTAGCTTGAATTCAATTTAAACTTAATTTTTAACAGGCTGTTTCTACACGAGTATATTAAAACATACTAAAAATATAAAATAATTCAGTATAATACTGTTAAAATTAATAAAGTTTGTGTTCAAGGCTAGAAAATACTTAATTTTGGAACCTGTACATTAAGTACTAAGGCTTCAAAACACGTGTATTTTTTAATTCCTCTATTCTTTTTATACACAGCAAACTTGTAAACAATTAAAAGTAAATAACTTTTTCACTGCTACGTTTATAGATAGATAAATCTCTTGTGCCAGATTTATCTTAAATACATGAAGAATATTCTCTAATATTTCACTGAAAACTTGGAGCTGTTAAACTTTGGAAAGTGTAAATGAGAATGCTCCTTCTTAAAAATTAGAAAATCACGTGTTTTCAAGACTAAAACAAAGGTTATATAGTGTTCCCATATATATGTGTCCATGTCAGTAGAAAAGCCTAATATTTAATAAAGGGTGACCTAAAAATGATACAAGAAATTGATTCTCTACCTAGGACTGTTTAAGCCTCATGTTGCCTTCTTGTCTAACATCTTTAATCTCAGGGATAAAAATAATGAAATCAAATTACAATCACTCCAGGGAAAGTTATCAGGAAGATTACATTCAGTCATGTGAAGTTGCATTTCCTCATGAATTGTTTTTTATTTAATCCATGCAATATGTTCACTTTCATAGGTCATAATTAAAGGAATATGGATGCGCCATGCATTCTCAATCAAGAAAGCCAACTGAAAAGATGAAATTCCTCGAGAATGTAGGACTGTAATATTTCGATCCCTGAATCTATGAAACTATTTCTTACTACAAAACTAGGCTTCTACAAAATGCATTTATTTTTCTTACAGAAATCAGAAAAAAAAAAGAAATACAATTCTTATAACAGTCTTTACATAGATGCTAACCTCTTGTAATGACCAGATTTTGACAATCTTGATCTCTTTCTTTTTATTATGAGACTTGCAACAGAAAAAATTCTTGTTTGATACATCTCGTAGATAAGTTTCCAATTCAAAACGACTGCAAAACATTTCATGGCAGCCATTTCTCTATCAGAACTTGCACAAGATTTATTAAAACTTTGCATATTAAAGACAAAAATAATTAAATATTCTCATGTTTAGTCATTTGTTAAATTAGTAAGCAAATTATAGAATCTTTACTTTGTGGGGGACACAAAAGTACTAGAACTCTGAAGTGACCCCTTACAATATATTAATCTTAATTTTCAAATGATTCATAAGAGAAAAAATATAAACATACGAAATTGAGGTCCAACTGAAAAAGTTGCCAAATGTTCCATCAAATAAGTTGGTCCATCTTCATTACTGTTACTGTGTTGATCTACATAAATAATTACTCTTAGTCACTCACTAAAAGTATAAATCCAAAACGGAACAAAGTGAACAATAAACACAAGTTCAATATTTTGTACACTGCTAGTTAAAACAAACTTCACAGAAACTCTAAATTTAAATATTGTCAGTTCCTTCAAAGTTTTATTTAATTAAAACTGAACAATAAAAAATAAATGCAGGACTTTTAACTATTTATGTAGCACAAAAATTTCCCAAATACATTCTGTCAGTTACAAATCATAATGTACACAAGCTATATAATATTTACATATACTAAGTCAAAGTGCAAGTGAATACATTAATGTTAAACAATCCTTTAAAATTTGAAAAATATATATTAAACTGCAATATATTTAATAAATGTTTACTTAAACAGTTATTAACCACTATCTGAATTTCATAGCATATTAAAGAGCAAAACAAAAATTGAGCTTCAAAAACACTAACTTTACTGAAACATTGGTAGTATCAACCCTGAAGCATCATCGAAACATTGATAGTATCAACCTTGAAGCATCACCAAAACATTGATAGTATCAACCCTCAAATATCACCGAAATGTGTATAACCCTGAAATATCATTGAAACATTGGTAGTACTAACCCTGAAGTATCATTGAAACATTGGTAGTACTAACCCTGAAGTATCACTGAAATGTGGATTGTATTAACCTCTCAAGTATACCAAAACATTGGTAGTATCAAACTTGAAGTATCACTGAAACACAGGTAGTATTAACATCTAGTTATCCCTGAAACACAGGTACTATTATTCCATGAAGAATGAATTACTGAATTTTACATTTCAAACTAAATCTTAAGATTACAGATCTGAAAATATGTTTTAAATAAAATAATAGCTACTTTAGTGTAAGTTTCACATTAGTATTTAAAACCTTCTAGTATTTCAAAAAAAAGATGCCTGGTAATTGAAAAAAATTGTAATTAAAATAGTGGGTGGGCTATAAAAACCCCCAATAAAAATAAGAGTAGCCCTTGAACTACTAGTATAGCAATTTAGTTTTTTAGATAAATTTTTCTACTATTTATGCACCAAACTGCTTGTGGGCCATTCCCAGCTTTGTTGGCTCATAATAACGAGTCACACCCACACACACATAAAAACATGCTGAAAACTATCAACATTGAAATAATTCCATTAATTACTGATGAAATACCCTGTATACTTTACGAAAAAAATCAAGTGATTTCAACCAGTTCTTTTGGTCACCTCTTTAGAATGAGTGTTGTAATAGTCAAAGGCTAAAATACTCAATACGATGCAATAAGAGAAGCCCTCCTTTAGTAAATGGTACAAAAACAAGTTCATAAATTGAGAATTAAACTATAAAGAATGAACTTTTCTTCATGACTAAGCTACATTTATACATTTAATTACATAAATATTCCCACAAAGAAATGTATGCAATACAACAGAATTAGTATCCTTTACTGAGGGTTCACTACAGCCCATGTTTGATTTTGAGAAATAAAATTATGCAATCATATTTTTATTTCATTCTAGATACAAAAATTAAATTGTCTTTTATAATTAGACAAACATTTATACCCGAGTGGTATCCATTGGAATAAGATGACCTTGTACCCTTCATCCCTGGATCTTTTACTCGATGTGGAGACATATCTTTATTGTTTGACAAGGTATGAAATTATCTGAAAAATGGAATTTCACAGTTATATTTTTACTAGGCTTTAGACCTTACACACAAATGTATCCTTAAGTACTAGCATACCAACATCATTTAAAGCTATGTTTCTCCCTAAACTGTCATGAACCAATAAAATGAAAGTGCAAAGAAAAACCATTACAATTTACATATGAATATTTAGCCAGATTTTGTTTGTTTTCATGAAACCCATAAACCAACACTAGTCTGTAGACTCATGGTTGAGAAACTTTGATTTAAAGCATAAAGATATTTTCCTTGAACTTTTCAACATACAATCAATTAAAAAAAAAAATTAAGAAAACAATGGCACATTTGTATGCACTATAAAACATACTTAATATGCACAGATAAGTTTGTATTTAAAATTCCTTTCTTTATTCTTTGACATTTTGAACAATATATTAACAATAACCTTCTGTATCACTCTTGTCAGCTGAATATGTAAAAAAATCAATTTCAATTTAAGATTTCTAAAACTTTAGGATATCCCAATTTTTCCACATTTGTGAAGAAAATAAATCATGTGTAACAAATCCTTTACAATTATTATGTTGAATGACTTCTAAAAACTTGTACAAACTTGGTTTAGTGTTGTGCTTGATAATAGTCCAAACACGTTAAAATTTTTAATAACACACAAACAATGAATCATTTTGTCCTTCAAGGCTGTCTTAACTGGAGCATTTTATAATCAATTACATTTGTTATCACATAAAAAATACTATGGTTCCCTATGGTATTTCAACCACAATATGTCTGCCATAGCTATTGACAATTATGTATTCCACTCAATAACAGGCTGACTGGCATAGAAGAAATACGGTAATGGTTAGAATGTTATTTTCTAAACCTCACACTTGATGTCTTCTCATCCTGCTTCCTTCAGATTATAGCACAAATAAATCAGAGGTCTTTAACCTATAAATCCTCCAGATAATCTTGTAGTAACATTACCTCTCTCTCCTTCACTCAAGAAAAAATATGAGATCTTGAGCTGGGTGATTAGTGGTATTTACTAATCGATTACATTTGATAAATCGATTAGTGCAGTGCTCCTCAAACCTTGTTGCACGTTCCCCTGTAAGAGCAGAAGAAAAAGGTAGCCCATGGGTTAGCAGTGGGTCTGCCAGCCAGTTGCCTTCTCTCTAGTCAGCAGTTCAAATATGGTATTTAGAAACCATAATTTTGATTTGTTGATTATTTTCGTAACAATCAATTTAATCATTTTGATTAATCAATTTTTGGAATAATCAAAAACAGTAATAGTAACAACAACTAATTTTTATTAATTATTTTTGTAACAATGAATTTAATCATTATTTCAACTAATCTACTGTTCAAATAATCAGAAACACTAATTTGATTAGTTGGATTATTTTTGCGACATTAGTTTAACTAATCGATTAAATCTCTCAGCTCTAACTGTTGATTTTCCTTTATGATATATTTCGCTAGAGGTATTTTTTTTCAAGTTTACTTATTACTAGACTTTCTTACAA